CTCTCTCTCTCTCTCTCTCTCTCTCTCTCTCCCTCTCTTATCCTCCCCACCCCTTCTCTCTCTTTCTTATCCTCCTCCCCTCCCCTCTCTCTCTTTTCTTTCTCCCTCACTTTCTCTCTCGCCCTCCCTCACCTCCCTCTCTCTCTCTCTCTCTTACTCTCTCATTCTCTCACTTTCTCTTCCTCTTTCTCTCTCTCTCTCTCTCTCTCTCTCTCTCTGTCTCTCTCTCTCTCTTTATCTCTCGCCCTCCCTCACTCCTCTCTCTCTCTCTCTCTCTCTCTCTCTTTCTCTTTATCTCTCGCCCTCCCTCACTCCCCTCTCTCTCTCTCTCTCTCTCTCTCTTTATCTATCGCCCTCCCTCACTTCTCTCTCTCTCTCTCTCTCTCTCTCTCTCTCTCTCTCTCTCTCTCTCTCTCTCTCTCTCTCTCTCTCTCTCTCTCTCTTTATCTCTCGCCCTCCCTCACCCCCCCCCCCTCTCTCTCTCTCTCTCTCTCTCTCTCTCTCTCTCTCTCTCTCTCTCTCTCTCTCTCTCTCTCTCTCTCTCTCTCTCTCTCTCTCTTTCCTACTATATCTCTACTGAGTCTTAATGAAGAAGGACTGATGTTCTTGAGAATATAGATGTTAAAGAATATAACAAAAAAAATCAAAAATGATTTTATATGTATATATATTCTTTTAAATCAAAATTGTTAAATAGATTGCTACGTTTGTGCACATCAACCACTTGGTTACATATATATTTCTTTTAATTAGAATGAATAGATTAGTGTGTTTGTGTACATTAACCGCTCGGTAATGTATAAAACTCAATGGAAAAAATATATATATTCCGACTCCATGGTTATAAGAATCCGCTGCTGTAAGATATATTTTTTTCATTATCCTGAAATTATCCTCACTTATTTCTTACATCTATATCAAAGCATAAAATGTTCTACAGGCCTGGTCATTTAAAAGTCGATCTCGCAGTTTGATGTCGGAGTAAAGGCAGGTGCAACAAAACATACATAATTGCAAGAAGGTCAGTCAATGTCGTTGAGAGATCATTGTAAGGTCAGAGTAATGAAAAATTACAAGCAAAAAGAACTCTAAAAAAATAGTCACAAGAAGGTCAAAACCCCAAAGTGTCAATGTCATTTGAAATTTCGTTTCCAAAAAAGGTCGGGGTTGCCAAAAAAAAGGTCACACTGAGTCGCTAAAAGGTCACAAACAAGTCAAGATTTTAGGATAAAACCACGAGAAAAATTACGAAGAGGCCAGGATCGTTCAAAAGGTTTGTATGAAAAAAAACAAAATTAAGATCGGAAGGAGAAATCAAATTTGCTAAGAAAAAAGTAATTGTTGTTTGAAAGCTTAGAGGTTCTTATAAGTTTAGGATTGCATAATAATAATAATGATAATGATAACAATAATAATAATAGTAATAGTAATAAATCAGCCAATGGAAGGTCGAGGTCACATTAAAGGTAAAGACAATGTTAAAATCACAAAAAAACGATAATGCTACTAATAAAATTATATATTATATATTTCAACAAAAATGTATTTTATATATTTAAAAATAATGTTTCTAGGTAACACTTTTTTTCAATATACAGACTGATATACGACCTAATAGCTAAATAACAATTGTGTCCGAAAAATAATAGCTTTTCAACCTCTTCAGTTGCCATTCACATGAACGGTGCTGACTGAACGTTCAGATCTGACGAAAAAGCACAGTGGGTATCGGCCTGTTAGCTCAGTTGGTTAGAGCGCCGTGCTAATAACGCGGATGTCGAGGGTTCGATCCCCTTACGGGCCAAGTATTTAAAGTTTTCAAAAGTCTTCTCATGACCTTAGAACAAATATGGAAATAATTTTAGATCAGTTTGGTAAGGTAGATAAAGTGAGGTTTATATGATACAAGCGAAATGCTGATAAAAGTCTCACCAATGGCTTAAGATGCGAATTATAAACACGACTCAAAAGTTGACAAGAATATGACTATATTTTATAGGAATTTACCCAAGGTAAAAGACGACCTACCTGAGAGCGCCGACTGTGAATTGCCTCAGAACATGTGGATCTTATAGTGAATTTCTGATGTCCTGTTATAGGTTTATTGCTGACAAGAAGTCGTTTTCCTTTTCTTTCTAATGTGAACATGAACTTTAATCACTAATACTGTTTTTCTCTTGCTGTGATATCCTGAGAACAGCGATGTCGAACATAAATGATGATACTAGTCTTATTCACTGCAATGTCTAACGCTATAACACCTACACGGAAGCAAGGAGTGGCCAATTCACTTGCAACGTTTGGGGATAGAAGCATTTATTTCCTGGCGTGGAAGAATTGGCTAAAACTGAGGGAAGGTTTACATCTGATCAGGATATTGACTTGCTGGAAGAGGTTATGCTCCCTTTGGTTTGCACCTTTGTTTTTCTTTGATCTTCTTGCTTGGAATAACCCTGTGCATGCATTCTCGGTTCGTGGAGGGAGTGACTCCGAGGGCAAAGGAGTGTGGAGCCTCACATCCTTGACTCAGCAAAGTTTGCTGTCTGTTTGCCTTAGAGAGAACATGAATTGGGCAAAGAGAGTCAGTTCTTAAGAACCAACATCGGGAAGAACATCGCAATAACAAGACATGTATGCGAGATTCTGCAACGGAACCAAGGTTAGTGTGTACGATTGTGCGCTTAACGAGGCGCTACGCCTTAGAAGATCCTTCTAGCAGTGGTTCTTTAGCTGGGGGGGGGGGGGGGGCAGTAAATTCTAAGGGGAGCGCGAGGCCTTGGAAAAGAGCAGAAATGTCTCTAATTATATTTGTTATTCTCTAAAAGGGAGAACGGCCAAGTAATGAGAAGGTTGATAGTGTGACTAATTTATACTCAATAAAAAGACTAAGAATATATTTCTTTATGTTCTTTAAAATCTGGGAGGGAATTTTATTCGTAAAGGGGGCGCACAGGGAAGGACAAATGCCTAGGGGAGGCGTTGGTAGTACATAGGTTAAGAACCAGTGCCTTAAAGTATATATTTTTTTCAAAGTTACTGTTTTACATTTTACTGCACCATGTACTGTTAATTCCTATTCTATGACTCAATATTTCCTGATTAGTTCAGGGATATTACAATATCAAAATGCGAAATTTAATTGTCCTCAAGAGAAACCCGGGTTATCCCCGATGAAATATAGATATGTTACGGGTTATGCAATCGATCTATTTCGACAATAACAGTTGATTTATTGGACAGAAGTTGGAATAAGATTGCATGAGCAGCAGTTGCACAAATCCAGCTAGCATAGAAATCTACAGCTCTTGACTCATTAACCTTTCTAATGAAAATCAAAATTTTTTTCCCGTAATTGTCTTCACTCAAATCTTGTCAAAGGAATATTTATTATGAATATAACATTTTTTTAGTGTTCAAAAACAAAATCATGGGTGAAACTTGGTACACCTCTAAGAAAACCAAGACATATAAGAACAAGTTTATCGAAAGTACGCTTGCAGATGAAAAAGACTATAATTATATATATTTTTTTTACTACAGTGGCGTGCAGAAAGGAGGGGGGGGGGGCACGGGCATCCAAATGGGGGGGGGGGGCATCCAATCAGAGAGAGCAATAGAATAAAGATTTCGGAAAATGAATATTCAAATCGAATTAAGTGTTTATTTGTTGTCTCATCTGTGTTTACATATCACAAATATCTCCCTCATAATATTTCTCAGTACTAGGCCTTAAATATGAAACTTTGGGGCATACAATCACCATACCTTTCTTGCAAGTCACTGTTTTTTTACCGCATTCCTGACATGTATGTACTATCTGCTACTGTTTCAAGGCTATGTCATT